GGGGAGGTAGATTTGAAGGAGTCAAATGTGCCCCATTTTTTGTGGTGACTTAATTCAAACAGCAGTGACTGGTTCAGAAAAATGTGGAAGTGACAACTGACTGAGATTAGTACTAAGGCAGAATGAAGTCCTGAAGTTCAGTATCTAAACAATAATGGAGTGAATGTGAAAAGTAACTGAAAAGCTTCAGCATTAAAAAAAAAAAAAAAAAAAAACAGAAAAGTGGCACAAAAAATTGGAAGGGATCCCTGGAACACTGACTCTATTTCTCTGCTGTCATGATATCCTGCAACCAATAAAGTTCTTTCTTCTAATGGTTGTTTATTCACATTGTTCCTCTTAGGAGGTTATTCTGAGCTTCACTCTGCTGTTTTGAAGGCTTCTGCTAGTTTTCAGCCTGAATTTATTTATGACCAGTGTATATATGTTTTAAGTTCTTTCCATTTTTAAACTCCAACCTGTTATTAGCCACATTTAGTAAAAGTTTAGGGCATAATTCCTTTACTCCGAATATGTGTGATTTGTCCCTTTTTTATTTTTAACCTTACAGGAAAGCAGAACAATATGCCAAGACAAGATGAAACAGATGTTTCAGGTCTCCATTACAATTCAGACAGAAATTTAAATCAGCTGAAAACATCAGAACAAAATGCTTTGTAAGTATTTCTCCACTATCAGCTACTCAGGGGATAGTTACAGGTAATATACCTTTCAGTAGCTATTGCTTCCCTTGCAGCCTTTGATGTGATCTTGTTAAAGGTAGATTCCTTTTAGGAATGTGTGCAGAGATCTAAAGCAAGTCATCTGGAGCTCTGGGAGCCTGGCATCCCACAGACTGGTTTCCAAACTTGCTCGAGATATTTGTGTAAATAGGAACTGTTGACACAGAGAATATCACGATGTATCTCAAAAGTTGTGCTGTATTTGTATTTGTCCTTGTATTCCAATGAAAGGTTTATCTTTCTGAATTAGACTTTCTTCAAGCCTATTCCAAAATTAGATGTAGAGAAGGAGCAATAACATCAGTAAAAAAGATGAAGGGTCACCTCTTTCCTACCCTTACAGGCAGGACATGACAGATGCCAGTTGGAACAATTTTCTACTAAAAAAAATGAGTTTTGAGAGAACAAATATTTTCATAGAAAGAGTTTGCTTTCCTCCAAATATGACTCCCTTTCATAAACCCCAAAGACTTAAAAGCAAAAGAGATTGGATTGTTGGCAGTTTGGGGATTCTTCCCCTCCCTTTCCCCCAGCATTTTCCAATGGAAAATATTCAGGGTTTGGGTTTTTAGCCCTTTGCTAAAATGTCAACATTTTCCAAAGGCTGAAGGAGGGAAAAAGAGAAGAAAAGAAAAACATGTTCTGACCAGCTCCAGTCAGAGCCAAATGGCTCAATTCTGGATATGGTCAGGGAAGTATGCTGGAGGGGAGAAAATGGGAGCGCCTTGGTTCCAAGCGCAGTCTGGGCTGAGGACTGTGTATCACAATCCATTTGTATGAGTCATTCCAGTCGACATTTCACCAGGGGAGCATGTGTAGTGGCTTTTAAGCACTTCAGGTCAATATGTTACTTGCAAACACTGCCTCACTGCTTACTACGGCCACTCTGGCTCTCTGTGTGCATCTGGGATGTGCACAGGTACATTCTGTTCAAGTCCTCCAATATTTCCATGACGTCTTTAACTCACAGAGACAACAATAACACCTGGAACCTATCCAGACCTGTGATTTCAGCTCTCCCCCATTCGGAAAAGAGGAGAAAGAAGTAGAACAAAGCCTACAAAAGCCTTGGACAGCTATGGAATTGGGAGAAGCACTGGTAGAACTAAGTTGACATAAAGGCAGCTAAACTACTCATGCATGTGCATGCACCATCCTGCTTTTAGTGGAAAAGAAGTGGCTTCATTTCTCCAATGTGCTGCTGGTCCCCAGCTGCTTCCTCAGTCTCCAGAAAGCTGTCCCAGCATTTGGGCACCTTCAAATCTGATGAAGAGAAGGACTGCCTTTCCTTCTGCCTATCCAAGGTATTTCCCAGAGCTGCAATGAGAGCTCTTCTATGGAAGACCCAGACTAGGTCTTTGTCCCCCTCTAGTGACTTGACTGCAAAAGAAGTTTTTGGAGTACTACCTCCGAGCAAGACAGTCACTACTTCGGGCCAGGATGTTGAATGGTTTCCTTTTCAAAGGCTAGTAGGATATCTAAGCATCACGAGAAGGTCATATATTTATACACATTGAAACATTATCCATTAACAAGATAAACAGTAATTAGGAACTTGACTTTCTGCTCTAATAAGCTGTGTGTGCCTGCTTTCCTCTCATGGAGAATGGCAGTCACAGACTTCACATGACAACCGTGTAGTCCTGCAGGAGACCTCGCTAGGTCCACTGTCACCAGAGAAAGAGCACACACAGAGGGACTCCTATAACCAAACACTTGCTGAGTCACAGCTCAGTCACCCCAGCACTTAGCAAGGCATGCCAGCCATCTGTCACCAGCACATCCTCCTCACTGCTCTGTGACTCTGCGGGGAAAACAACAGGAGGCAGATTACATTGACTGAGAAGCCAGGCTCTCGTGCATCTTGACTGAGTAATTCCTGCCTCGCCTTCTAACCAGTGCTAAAGCCTTTGGCTCATCTTCGTTTGGCCCTTTGTCGGGGAAGATAGTGACATGCAGGTTCAAACATTGAGCGCTTTGGCTGACTAATGAGTGACTCCAAACAAAGCCTGCTCTGGCAAGACATTGATAGTGTTGTGCAAAGCGTCCCTACTACAGACGAGTCATCTACACTGGCCTACTCACCAGTGCTCTAAGTAAACCACAGTGTTCGAAAAAAAAAAAAAAAAACAAAATAGAGGGAACCCTGTTTCCTACAGACTTGTGACCCAACTATGTCCAGTAAGGAGGAGCATGTGAGCAGAGATCCTGTTGTGTCTCCTGTCCCAACTGACCTCCCTCCCGTGTTCTCCCTCCATTTAGTTGTGACCTAAGGATCTGCAGTCCTGGAGGGTACTTGTGGGGACACAGCCCCAGGAGTAGGGCGAGTTTCTTACCACGTTCCTGCACACCAATCAGATGCAGTTCTGCCCAGATACGTCAGCCAACCTGGTCTTGTGCAAGAAGCTTGCTGGGGGTGTGTGTTTGCATACCATGTACTCATGCAAGATTTCACAAACTCTGTGCTGCTTACAGCCAGCCTTCACCACTGAGGTTCCTTGCCCTCCTCTCTTGCATGTTTGAAAGGCTGTTTTCCCTATTAGCTCCCCTCAAGGACAAGGCACCCACACCAGCAATCTGACCGCCCTACTTCATTCTAAAGTGATGAAAGAGTGTGGAGTGGATGGGGCCTTTTTTACTCTGGAGGAAAAAAGTGAACTCAATGCCAGGCACAGATCCCAGGCTGTGGAGTTCAAATCGTACTCTGAGCACATAATTCCCATTTGTGTTTGCGTGCATGCAGGGCGAGGGTGGGAGCTGGAGGGGGAGGGGGGGCTGAATATAAGAATGTAATTGTCATAATTTAATCCAAAACTACTTCTTGGAAGAAAAAAAAATAGGCCAACACAAAACAGCATGTTCAGTTATAAACACCACATGAAAGAGCTGTATTATGTTCAACTTGGTAACTGCCATCTAACTTCAGTGTTCTCAGCTGTCCGCTTCTGGGCCAAGGTCTTTCCAGCACTCCCCCAGCCCCAAAGCAAACAAAGGCCCCCAGACAAACGGCAACACAGATACCAATTTCTGAGGCCACGGCAAAATTCCACATAGAAAGTTCATTATAGACAGAAGACACAGGCTGGTGGCTGGAGTGCCTGGGAGCACAGAGCCATCTGGGACCCACGGCATGCCCAGCCACGCTGGGGAGAGTGCCTGCAAAGCTCCTGCAAAGCCATAAAAAAGCTGGCCTGTGCCATGTGGGATGCAGAGTGCTTTGTAACCAGATTTCTCAGCGCTGACCAGTGTATTCCCAGAGCCAGTCAATGCTGGCATCACAGCTGGTTTCTGATGGATGTGTGGGTTGGGAGCAATCACATCTGAGCGGTGAGGTACAGGGGCCCTTTTGTGCCCCTCCTTCTCCTCCCAGGCTCTCACGTGGTGTGAGTCATCTGGTGCAAAGGAAGCATAGTTACTCAGGCTTGGATCCTTTAGAGGCGCTCACCTACTTTGGATGACACTTGACCCAAAATGCTCCCAGGAACGCCAGAGACTTGGCATTGCTGAACATGATCCAGCAGTTGCCCGGGTGACTAAGAAGGCCAGTGGCATCCTGCCTTGGATCAGAAATAGCATTGTCAGGAGCAGGGAGGAGATCATCCCTCTGTACTCGGCTCTGGTGAGGCCACACTTCAAGTACTGTGTTCAGATTTGGCCCCCTCACTACAAGAAAGATATCAAGGCCCTGGAGTGTGTCCAGAGAAGGGTACCAAAGCTGTGAAGGGTCTGGAGCACAGGTCTTATGGGAAGCAGCTTGAAGGAACTAAGCTGAAGTTCAGTCTTGAGGAGGTTCAGAGCACACCTTATTGCTCTCTACAACTGCCTGAAAGGAGGTTGTGGCTAGGTGAGGCTTGGCCTTCTCTTCTAGATAACAGCAACAGGATGAGAGTGAATGGCATAGGAATTGAGACAAAATTGAGATCCAGGCAGGGAGTCAGTAGCTGGGGTCACATCCACTCATGGTCTAATGAGGCAGCAGGTGAGGGGACCAAAGGCTGGGAAGGGATGATGCATCTAACAATAGGAGGAGAGAGAATGGCTTCAAGCTGTGTCAGGGTAAGTTCAGGTTGGATATTAGGAAAAAATTCCTTCTCAGAAAGAGTGGTGATGCACTGGCACAGCCTGCCCAGGGAGATGGTGGTGTCACTGTCTCTGGAGGTGTTCAAGAAACACATGGATGCAGCACTGAGCAACATGGTTAGGGGACACAAGGGGGATGGGCTGGTGGTTGGATGAAGTGATCTTAGAGGTCTTATCCAACCGTAATGATTCTATGAGCAGCGCGTTTCTTCTCTCCCTCCATGGGATGCCCCAGGCAGAGCCTTCCTGCCTGCAGGACTGAGAAACAAGGAAATGCATTGTTAAATTCTTGCTGTCCCCTGTGGTGGGGGTGTTCTGGGGTCTCATGCTAACTGCGGGCCTTGCATAGCATCTGTTGGAGCTATAGCAATACAATATCACAAAGTAAATGCCTTCTGCTTGAAGAATATGTTTGTTAGCTTTACACTAACCTTTATTTTCCATGGGTCTGGGTGACATTATTAGCACCCGTGCTTACTGCTGAAGTGAGGCATCCTTGTTGGAGCGTGGGTGGGAGATAGGTTATAGTCAATATGGAGCGGAGCTAGAGAATGGCTTCTGTTATTTATTTCTTTGCCGTTCTTGTAGGATATGTGACACTGTTTCAGAAGATCTGCTTAGTAGAATCTAATTAAAATCCGAATTGTCACCCAGGCACCCTTGAGAGACTGTGCTTGCTTCAGCTGAGCTGAGTGCAAGGCTCAGCATGTGTCTGCTCCAAGGGATGGTCCGGAACAAAGCACAGGGCTGAGGGAAAGCAATAAAATAGGCAGAGCTGGCTTTGTTGACGTGTCCTACCTGCGCGTCCCATAGCAGAGGAAGGGCAGGCAGCATTCACATCACGCGTGCAGCCCCCCTTTGGTGGCACAATCCCCAGCTGCTTTCCAGCCCACGGGCGTTACTAAAGCCCCCACTCGCAGGATAACCCACTGGGAATAAAATCATCACCCCTCCTTGCCTCCACCACATCGCCCGAAAGGTGGAATTGAACCACTCTGTCGCTAGACAGCTACAGGTTTGAAGCCTGCACCCCAGACCACTGAGGGTCATCCGGGCAATTGTAACCGCACTCCCTTCAGACAATATGAGGCTGCAAGACCAAGCCGTTGCAAGGTCAGGGCGAGCGCTGCGCAGCGCCCGACAGCCGCGTTGAGCGCTGCCCCTGTCCGTGTCCCGGCCTCAGCCCCGGCCCCGCAGCACGGCACGCGCGAAGAGACGACAACCCCGCAGCCCGTTGCCGGCCCGGCAGCACGCGCGCGCCGTATGCAAATGAAGGGGCCGGCGATTGGCTGTGCCGCGGGGCGGGGGCGGCGGGTGACGCACGGCGCTTCCCAGAAGGAGTGGGGCCGCGCCCGGCGCCCTGCCCGCGCCCGGGTGGGGTGGGGTGCGATGGGATGGTGATGGGAGCGGAGCGTTGGGCCCGAACGCGCCTGGTTGAGGGATTTCTTTCTTTTCTTCTTCTTCTTTTCTTTGTTTTAATTCTTTTATTTTTTAATAATAATGGTTAACGGCAGTATTTGGGAGGAAGACACGCATCTCCCATGAGATAAATCGCAGAACAATAATATCCTCCGGGAGGAAATGCCTTCCTGACCCCCAGCGGAGTGTCAGCTCATGCCCCGCGGTACGGGATTGAAAACACTTGTGCCTCGCTCCTCATGAGCGTGGCTGCGGAGGCTATTGCTACAAATGTCTGTGCCCTTGAAAAGTGACTGAGTTATTTGCCTCGAGAGATTCCTCTGAAGTGGGGCCATTTCTGCAAATGCATGTGGTTTCCAGTGATCTTTAATTAGATGGCTCCTTTTGGTGCAGGCAGCACATCCAGCCTTTAACCTGCAAAGTGGGGTTTTGTCAGCAAGAGCTGCTTGGAGAGCTGCTCCCGCCCCGTGCCAGTGCCAGGCAGGAAGTTTTCTCCCCTGGCTTGCACGGGTCACATCCCTCTGCACATTCCTTTCCCTTTACCTGGTGCTTATTCCAGTAGCAGGTGGTGTAATCTAGCACATTCCCTTTGTGCATAAAAATGCACAGTGCAAGGAACTGGGGGGTGTGCGTGTGGGAGGAGGTGCAGGGAAATTACTCATGGGAGGAAGAAATTAGCACGGGAGGGGGGGTGAGGAAGTCAGGTGGCAGCAGCCGTCCCTTGGGCTCTGACCTCGTTTGAGGGGAATGCATCAGCCTGGGGGCCTGTTCTTCAGCCCAGCAGCAAGTGACCTTGCTGGTGATCCCAGCTGGATGTAAATAGCTGCCAGGGCTCATGAGAAATCCTCATCTCCGTGTTCCTTCTGTAAGGCTTGGCTTTGGAAACCCTTTCACTTTGCTTTCCTCTCCAGCACCTACTTTTTCTGGGTGGTTTCTCGGTAAAGAATCCCGTTAGGGGAAGGCTTCCATCTGAGTGTGAAAGTGCTGGGCTCCCCTCTTGCAGTCCCTCGGTTTTGTGAGCATTGATGTTGTCTTTCACGTCTCCTGATTGGTCTCCCTGTGCTTTTCAGAGTGACCATGCCAAAGCACACAAGTCCAAGTGAAAAATAACAGCCAGGCAAAGTACTGCAGCCTACAACAAAAGCATCCATTGGAAAGGCCAGCTCCCAAAACTTTCCTTACTTCACAATAAAGACACTTGCTGAGGTAAAGAGCGCAACAGTTGCAGAAGGTCAGGCAGTGCAGGAAGGTGCCCCAAAAGGGTCAGCAGCAATACAGGAAATGATGCTAGAGACCTCATAGTTGATGGGAAAGTAGTAACAAAGAAGTTTTGAGAATTCTCCCCTTGACCGGATGCAGGGCTGTCTAGGTTCAGATTGCTTCTGGAACGGAAGCTCAGCTAGCTGCTGGCTTCCCCTGTGCTGCCTGAAAATAACATTTCCAGGATCCCTGTGTGTCTGCTTCATGGGGACTTTGGTTACCTGAGCCCAGGGGACAGCTGTGGATCAGGTGCCCCAGCTGAATGACCTGGCAGAGGTGTGATGGAGGACAGGTGGCTGCAGCCACGGCCCCACTGAGTGTGTCGGTAAAGAGTCACTGAGCTGTGTTGTCTGCAGGGAACTTTTGTCCCAGCTCCAACCTGAACCAACCACGCTGCCTGTGTTACTGGGATATGAGGATCTGGGCTGGTGTAATGGACAACTGAACCCACAGCTGATGTCAGAGGTTAGTGATTGCTGGTTGGATTGATAAGGCTACCAAAGATGCAGATAGGCACCTCCAAGGATCTTCAAAACATGTAAATAAGTTAATGGACCTGTTGATTTCAGGGGCTTCCCAGCATCTCATTTGCCTTTAAGCATCTTTTTGGAAATCTTCTCAGCACTCAGCTTCATTTTTAGTCCAAGCATCTGAAAATATGACCCCTTGCCATTAGGAGTGTAGAACAAATGCAGTTTATCAGCATAAGGATGGAAAAACTCTCTCTCTCTTCAATAATGCTCTTAATTAAAGCGTTTCTCAGTGTCTTTGGACCTAATTCTCCACCTTATGCAGACAACTACACTATGCCAAATGGGTGCAAAGCACTGCCAATTTAGGTTTGATTCAATGCCCATTTGAGTTAATGGAAATCCTCCCACGGAAATCAATAGGATTTGGTTCGGGCCCCAAAGTCAATGGGGAATTCTGATTTCACAGTGTTTTACGCCCACACTGCACTGCTATAAGCAAAGATACAACGTACAAAGGCTGGAAGAATTTGGAAAGGGCTCTGTGTGTGACTTCTGGAGTGGGCTGTAGCCTAGGCTACTGAAGCAATGCATTGCGCTTAAGACTGTCCAGTGAGGAAGGCTTAAAACAAATCAGTCTGAGTTTTTCCAATTGGGTTTTTGAAGGGCTTTTACTTTTTGTAAATATGCTCTTGAGTTGGTTTTTGTTGTTGTTGTTGTTGTCCCAGCCTGACAGAACATGCAGGCATCTTCTGTGCTTTGTTCTTGCTTCTCGTAACCACCAGAACCTGATTTGTGTCAGAAAAGATAATCCTTGCTGTATTAATAAATAAGTATTTGGTGTAAGGTGGGGGATGAGAAGGGCTGTTATTCTTAGCAGCAGCAATGAAATTTCAGCAGCTGATGACGTCAGTGCTAAAATGTCAGTGTGAAACAGACTGGAACAAATTAAGAGCGTAATGTCGTCACTGAGAGCCACGCTGCCCTCCGGAGGGACTGTGGCTGGATGCTGCAGATGCAGTTCAGGGGATGGGGTACAGAGGCTGCTGCTGGTTGCTTCGCAGAAGCCTTCAAAAAGCAACCACAGTCATCTCAGTCCCACAAAGGTCAAAGAAGATGCTATTTGAGCATCGCTGCCCATTTCGTGGCGTGAGCTCACAGCAAGGGAAGAGCCACATCTTTAAACCAGATTCCAGGAACCGAAACCAGAAGAAAAAATAAATACAATTGGCCATCTCCTAGTCTCTTAACAAACTGGGCTAAGTCCATCTCTGATGTCACTCTAGTGACTCAAATCAAAATGGAATTTGACCTGAGATGCCTCTTGTCATGATGTGCTGTTTAAAAGATGATGAGCTTGGAGCAGAGGTGGTCCTGAAACATTTTATTACTTACTTGGACTGTAGTATTGCATTCAAAGAATGCCTTCAGGCTACCCAAAAGTCTTGAAGTCAAGGTGTCCAGAGTTTTAATCAAACCTGCCAAAATTCCAGAACAAATGCACTCATGCTCATTCTCAAAAGACTCAACTTTGGGGTGTTTCTCGGCTAGTCATAGGTTGCATTGCTAGACCAAGTGCAGCCTGATTGTGGGGGCACAGGCAGTAGCTGAGAGGGTCACTTCAAGCCTGGCATCTCAGGGTCCCTTTGAGCCCTGCCTCTTCTTGGTCTTGCAGATGGACTGCCTTGTCTGCTGGGGCTGCTGGGCTGTGGGACAAGCTCTGGTCAGAGGAGGTAGGGATGGCTGTGACTTTCCTGCACAGAGTTCTGTGCTGCTTTGATTGGAAGCATGAAAAAAAGTGGAGATTTGCTGGGTAGTGTTTCTAGAAAACAGTATTGGTGACAAAACTGCTCTGTGTTGTTTCACCCCTTTCTAGAACTGCTGCAGAGCTGGATAGTTATAGCAGACAAGGGAAAATATGCTGAGACATATGTTTATCTATCAATCATGCCAGCTGCTTCTGGCATGCAGCAACCGGCTGACCACAGTAAGGAAAGGAGGATGTAATCAGTTAGCAAAGGCACTCCTTTCTCAGCAAAGACGATAAGGATTATTGGCAAACCCACAGAGAGTTACGGGAATAGAGGAACTGGTGTGCTGAAGTCACTTCCTATCACTTGGGAGTCCCTGTGCTTGGAGTATTGTGTTTGCTTTCCTATTATGGGTCCCAGAGTTGTCTGCATTCATTCAGACTTTACAAGAGTACTCATCCTGCCTCAACAAACAGAAAGCTCTCTCAGAGAGATTACCTCCATCTTTTATTTGGTTTGGGGGGGAGGATCCAGACCAACTGTGAGCAGTGAGAATAGTTCTTCGCCACAGCTGCACACCAGCACAACACCTTCCTGAGGAGAGATTTGCCAAAAAAAAAAAAACAAAAAAAAAAACAAAAAAAACCCCACCATGAATTAATCAATGCAGGGAAGAGATTTGTGCCAACAGAAACACCCTTTTGCCAACACAAACTGCACTGCCACTGGAGGGCTGGCTGGGCACTATCAGTAACCCCACTCTTGTCAGCATGGGGCCCCAGCTTCACTGATGAGGTGCTGCACGGGCAGGCAGTGCAGGAGGTTCCTAGCCAGTGAGATCACTCTAGGCTTTGCACCTCTATGCTGAGGTGAGCCCCTGCTCCCTCATTTCTAAAGGAAGCAACAGCTATTTCAGCTGCACCTGTATCAACACAGAGTCAGTACAAGCTGGGTGTGAAGTCCTGCAGACACAGCTGGTCACTGACGCAGCTTGTAGAAGAGAAAAAGGTCTGCTCTACTACAGGGCATGGTCAGTGTAGGTCTTGCTGTGCACAAAGGCAGCTTGGAGTTAGCTGGTGGCTTCTCAGCGTCTTGCCAGCAAGCATAGTGAGAACTCCTGCTGCAGCTCTGCCTGCCACTAATTGCAGCCTGGCACTGAGGCTGGCAGAGTGTTTCTAAATCAAAGCTTCTTTACCAGGAATGCGGGAGAGTGTGGGCAAGGAGAAGGCAGATGAGGAGCCAAAAAGGAGCGTGTTGTCCTACTGTCAGCATCACAGGTCTAAAGATGGGCTCAGTAAAAGCAGGGGAGACAAAAGGCTGAATGCCGCCTGCACTGCTTCTCATCTAGACCGGATTTCCTAGAACTTGGTTTGGGAATATAGGAATTAAATGTCCACACAAGGAAAAAAAGACTTCTACTTTTTTACTTGATATTTTGGTGTGTGTATGAAACTGATCTCTAACATGATTTCCTGGTAGACTGTCAGGGGAGGAAGGATGAATCTTTTCGGGATGTGTTTATAAATATCTGCCTATAAGTCAAGATTTGTAGGCAATACAGACCACTGCAGGAGACCCAAGCTGATCCATGATTTCTGCAATCTCATCTGAGAGAGCAAGTGAGTGATTCCATGTGGTAGAGACATACAGCCCATGACTCACAGCCCTGAGTCACAGCACTGGGACACTTCAGTGTTCAGAAACACTAGTAGTGACAGAAATCAGGATGATGAGCAAGCAGCTGTTACTCATTCTCAGCTGGCCACCGTAAGCGTGTTTGTACCAGCCAGTATGGCTCTGCCTCTTTGTCTCCTCTTGCAGACCTGCAGTCATCTGGATAGCGTGGTGACATAGCTCACTTCACATTTGCCTCTGGGCAAGAGATGATCAAGTCTAGTCTCTGGCTCCCAGACTGTCCTGCTTGACTCTATTAGTCTCAGCACAGAGCTATCATGGTAATTTTCACTTCAGATTACTTCTTTCATCTCTGGACATCAGCTCACATTACAAACATGAATTCATCGATCATCACATGGGGTTAAAAGCATCTGTATCCCTATTTATAGCTGAGGCACTGAGCAGGTATACAACTCACTTCTAACGACAAAGGAGATTTGCAGCAGAGCCGGGACAGAAGAACAGGCGATGTTACTTCTCCTAATCGCCTGCCACTGAACTCTGTGCTCTGTGGCATTCATCTCTTCCTCATGAAGTGGCAGTTTGGATAAGAACGAGTGCCCAGGAAGTTGCCCTGTTTATTCAGCCCTTGAATGCCTGTGGAGCTTTTTCACTGAATTCTTTTCATGAGCATCAGCTTTGGTGCGGGAAATGATTCTGAGAGACAAAGACTTGGTTGTGTGTGTGCACGTGCGTGTGTGGTTGGGAGAGGGGAAGAATAAAAAATATATTTCCAGATGGTTGAAAGGATGCATAGCACTTTGCTATTGGCAAAAACAAGCCCTTTCATTTTCAGGATGTGTAAGTCACAGAATCGCAGCTGGAAAAAATAGGCAGAAAGAGAAGCAGTGAGGTAAAAATAAGAATCACAAATGAAAAATAAACCAGCTGATATTTGCAAATCTAACTGCTTCATTTTTATTTAAATGGGAAAAATGCACTTGCTGGGGAGGATCTTTGCAGAGCAGGTCCAAATTCGTATCACTGCATTTTCTTGTTAGCTTCTTTGCTTTGCATTCCCAACTCCAGCCTCACAGGAAATTCAGTCCCTGGCAAGCTTCGGCTCCAGACAGGAAACGTCCTGAGGAATTTCTTCCATACAGGTACTATATTTGCTTGGAGGGATAGCACGGTGGAGATATTTACCACAGTTGAATTTAACTAGCAGAATATTATGCATGTTGATTGAGTTGCTGGGAGTGATCTCTGTCTACAGCCACCAGCATGCTGTGTTTAAACAAATTGCGCTGCTCTGCCTGCCTGTGGGAAGATATGCATCAGAGCTGGGCCTGATTCTCCATCCCCTGACAGCAGCATGTCCCAGCTTATGTCAAAGATAGTCACTGAAGCCAGAGTGTAACAGAGAATCAGGTTTGTGCAGCAGGTTTTTATCACATGACAAAGCTGGTCCTGTGCTATTTGCCCCAGACTGACCTTTTGATAGGAGTGCCTGTGCAAGACTGCTGGCTGAGGCATTTTGCTCACTGGTGAAGAAAAGCCCTGTTTTCGCCTTTGCACTGAGGGGACCAGGTACAGATTGGCTTGAGAACCATGCTGTCATTCAGATGAGCTGGAGGTGCCGGGTGTGTCCCAGCCACAGGCCAGCCTTCCTACACCCCTTGGGGCTCCCTTTGCACACTCTCCCACCTTTCTCCACAAGTTCAGAGCAGGCTTGTTCTGCTTATTAGTCCAGAAGAGATCATATTAGTCTGAAAAACAAGTGCCATCACTTGGTGCTTTTCGGGGTTACTTCAGCACTGTCAATGACTGGTGATGTAGTGTGTTACTTCCTCATGCACCCAAAAGAAATATTCCTTCCTTAGCAAAACTGCGAGCGCTTTCCTGTCTTTAATATAGCTCCCAACGTACAAGGTATATAGAAAAAAATACTGATCAGTCTGTGCCACAGTCTCCCAAGAGAAACGTGAGGGATTCATTTATATGGCTGGGAACAGTCCTGAGCTGGCAAGGAAATGGGCTGCATTACCCATCTCAAAGATCTGTGATTCACTACAAATACACAGAACAAGCAGGGAAATGTGCAGTAACACGCAGTGGTACTTCGCCTACTATTACAGTGCAGCCTCCAGCCAGAGACAACCCAGCCACATTTATAGGTGTGCTCTGGGAATGAGCTTTTTCTGTGGGGAGCAACGAAAGACAGACAAGCGCCTTCAAAGCCTTAAATGTCTCTATTCAACCCTGCCAAGCCATGGAAACCTAACTGTGTGCACTGCTGCAGTATGGATATTCTGTTTCTGGGGCAGGAAGCACAAGTGCAGATCCTCCCACTTAATGCTATGGGGAGAAGAAAAGATTTACAGACTCCCCTGCAGTGTTAGAGAAAATACAGCTTTGGCCTTTAGTGCCCTTTGTTACATAAACACAAGTAGCACAGACATATTAATCACCCTGCCACTGAGGGAGGAACAGAGCAGCAACCTCAAATGCCACCCACTCCCCATTCTCGCTCCCATTTGATGTTGCTATTTTAAGCTACACATTATTTCCTGCTGTGATTTTATTTTTTTTAACCCAGCTTCTAATTCTGGCTCTGAGGTAAGCTGTGACATACGTACCCCTCCTCTCCCCCTCCTCTCCTTCCTCCTCCCTCTGCACCCACGTCCTCTTTACTGCTGTCTTTTAGAATCTTTCTCTCTGCACCTTGTAAGCAGCTGGGTCCCAGGGGTGAATTGTTTGCCCAGAAAAAAAAAAGAGAAAGGAGACCTATCTTCTTCCTGCTTTTGGACTTTGGTGTAAACAGTATTGGAGCCATGGATTGCAGGGCAGAGCACTGTCAAAGTGCTATAGCTCCCTGCTTGGAGGGGATGAAGATGCAGAGAGAATGGTCCTGTGGGGAAAGGATGATAGGCCACAGCCATAGCTGTGCTCATCTGATGAGACATGTCTCGTCCCAGCAGCATCTGCTTTGTAGCACAGAACACACAGAGGTCTGCACAGGTTTTCTTGTCTGAGCCTGTTTCTGCATGCAGGTGGCCAGCAGATTTCTAGCCCCTAAATCAAGCTGCCTCATCCCACTGGCACCAGATAGCAGCCTGGGCCAGAGCAAGTGTGGAGCCTGCAGTCTCAGCAAGGGCCTGGAGCAGTGGGCACTGATAAGAGTTCTGCCTTGCTAAGTTTGAGCCCTAGGAGAACATCTGAGGCCTGCTTATGCATCGCAGTGGAGGAACACTGCTGGTTTATCCTCTTCCACACCCTTGCCCCTTTCCTCCCTGCCAAGCAGCCCATCCTGAAAACTTTCTCCTCCTGGATGCTGGCTGCTGCTAGCACAAGAGCAGGCTGGGCCTTGTTTCCAAACCCAGGAAAATGGAGAGGACCTGGCTGCACTCAGCCAGCACCGATGTATATGTTTCACACAAACCATTTCACACGTTTCCCTTCCTGCAACTTGCTCTTGGGGTTGCTGCACGTGGCCCATGCCTGCTTGGTGCTTGTGATTCCACAGTGGTCTTTCTGAGGATCCCAGAGAGAGGCAGAGAGCAAGAGCAGGCAGCCCTCTGCCAAGTGATCTGATGTTAGTCACAGCTGCTGGAAGGCTTTGCCCAGGACCGTTATTTGTGTTTCCACATCTTGGCTCCCATGCTGGTCCCTGGAGAGGATTCACATCCCAGAGTGGGATGCATGCGAGCTTTTGCACATTTGCACAGTTGCTGATTTGAAGCAGTGAGGAGAGGACTGTAGCCTGGAGAGCCAGGCAACTGGCCTCTTCAGGCCAAGCTGCAGCCCTCCAATCCTTGCCTGCGAAGCACTGGCATTTGAATCGAACATGCTGATATCCAGTGGAGGGGAGGGAGGCGAAAGAGCCAGCATCACAAAATGGAGCGATCACACCAGAATAAAATGACTGGTTTTTTCCAGCCTACTGCATCCCCATGGGCAGCTATTTTAAAGTTTAT